AAGGGATGCTGGCCATGGCTTTGCCCACCACCAGCTCAGACCCCCCATACCACAGTTCTTGCCACAGCCAGTATCACATGGTCCTCAGCAGCAAAACATTTGCCCACTCCAGCTTTACAGGTTCAATGCAGGAAACCCCAGTGCATATTTGGCTGCTTAAAATGTGAATTGTTTCTGATAGAAACAAATGTTAGGAATACAGAACTGGGATTCAGGCAGTCAGGGTTCTAGTCCCTCACTTACTGGGTGACTTTGAGCCAGCCACAATCTTTCAGCCCAGCCTAACTCACAGAGGCATTGTTGTGGGGATAAGATTGAGAAGAGGGAGAGAATTGTGTAAGCTGCCTTGAGTCCCTTGAAAGGTGGGATATTGATCAATAAATCTAAATAATAGGAAATGTTTCCTGTGAAAATAGCCTCCCTGGATGAATGAAAGCAATTAAATTATTTCAGCTCAGCCCACTGTATGTTATGTTTAACTGAAGATCTGCCTACAAAATGGGGAGGGAAAATCTATCACAATACCTGTGTCACAGTCTGCTACCAGTTCCAGGGTACCTCATAGCAGGTAGCCATGATCTTACCTGGAGTTGCTTATGCAAATCTATTCACTTCTGCAGCTGCGAACAGCAATGATCAATGGAGAAACAGGTTATCTCTCAATGGATGTGAAAGTGCCTGTGGACAAAGGGGTGAGTGTATGTTTGCTTGTTTTTATGTCCGACCTTTGGATCAAGCCAACTTGCACATAATAAACACAGATTCTCATAATATCTTGAGCAGTAGCAATAAATGATGCCATTCAGAACAAGTATTTAAAAATATAAAACTGACATGTTTAAACTATTTAAGCAATCCATAAACCTACCTAAAACGATTCTAAAAGCCACTGTATGGTAACATGTTTTGTCCAACCAAGATTTCATAGAGTTCCATGCAAGGTTTTGAAATTACTCAATCTCCTGAATTAAGTAGGCCTAACTAGATTAGCCTTCCAAGTGCAGGACAGGTTGCAGTAGCAAGGCTACAAAGACAAAGAAGTAAGAACAGCTGTTCTCCTGTTTTTGAAAACAGATTCTAGTTTTAGTTGGTGTATGACTCCAGGTCTCTTAGAAAACAGAGAACAGCAATAAAGAAAAATACAGCAAACTTTTATCTTAGCAAAGCTGGAGATAAATTTTAGGTGGTACACAGGGACACAGTTGATAGAAATCAAATTGGATAATATTAAGTGGCTAGAAGGGGCTTGTCACCTAAAATCTCTTCTAAAGTTTTGCAGTAATAGACAGTGGCAGGTCATCTTTAGATGTGTGTGGCTGTTCTTCAGGATGGCATGGGATAGAGGAATACTGCCTAGTATTCAGACAGATGACCTTTAGGCATACTTACAGCTTCACATTAATTTTACTAATAAGTTTTCTTTGTGCATTGGAGATAACCTGGCTTCAGTAATCTGTGTTTTTGTAATCTCTAAATTAGATTACTCTAACAAATTCTACATGGGACTATCCTTGAACATAGTTCAGAAGCTGCAGCTGGTACAGAACATGGCAACCAAATTAATAACTGGGACCTGGAGATGTGAACATATAAAACCAATTCTGGCCTGCCTACATTGGCTGCCTGAGAGAGAGAGAGAGAGAAATTGTGTTCTTCAGATGACCTTGCCATGCATTTTCCTTTAAAACTGAAAGATTTCTTACAGATTTGTACTGCAGTAGTTTGAGTTATTACCCTGAAGCTCCCCAAGCACAATACAGTGTTTCATTTCTAATTGCTGTATGGCATTTGTAGGCACCTAATTAGTTCTCTCCCACCCACCATCATGTTTATGTCTCTTTCCCCTGTTATTACTCCTCGGGGTTTTCTGTTCCCATATCAGCTATGTCTTGGATTTTTTCCAGCATGCATGTTTTTCCAAGGGCAAACATGTTTCTTCTTTCTTGTCATCTGGAGTCAGAAATGATTTTTTTTAAGATTACTGAAAAGTGATTTGATGAGAGAGGTTGCTTTTCATAGTGTGTACACACACAATCCTATGCATGCTTTTTTTGGGTTTGTACTGCAGCCCCCTCTGGTTAAAGAGACTTTGCAGGTTTTTGAAACAATTGCAAAACCTACATAACCAGAGGGGAAGATTGGACATGTATATGTATCCTATACAACAACTATCTTCTAATGTGCCTTCAACTGTCTTTAAAAGAACAGTGACCTGTTTCCAGTCTTACTAGTCTTAGTTCTTGTGCATTATTTGTACCCTAATATATGCAGTTCTTTCAGATTCTTGATCTGTACATTTAGTTAGCTAACTATATGTTCATTTTCTCTCTCAGATCCTGCAAAAAATACTGTAGATGTTAACAAAGAATGGTTCTAAGTGGGATCTTTATCATGATCTACTTGTACTCCCTCACTCTTCAACATGCCCACGCACATTTCAGACTGTTTGCTGTGACTTTGTGCTTATAGACCTTCAGTCAATTTTTAAGTTATACAAAAGCTAACTTTTAGACTGTATTAATTAAATATTAGCACTGAGATTTTGAGAAGTGATACAATCCTCTGTGTAAATCTATGTAGATTATATTGACTTTTTTGCTGCAAGAGTTAAGGTCAGTACTCAGACAAAATCAACAGAGGGAAAGGAAGAGGACAGAGCACAAAAATGTTATTCTAACCTGGTGTTCTCCAGATGTGTTGGAGTACATCAGAATAGGGAAGGCTGTTCTAATTCATTCATGTTTGGCTTGCATTTCTTGTAGCTTTTAGTGTCTGACAGAAAGGTTGCTCAGAAAAATTTAATAGAAAAAGTCATACTGTAAGAATTACTTTGCGATATAATGTTCTCTGAAGAACTTTATGTGGTCTTCTATAATCAAAAATTGTTAAAACAAAAAAGAGAGTTCATTCATTATTCCTAGTGCCATTTTGGCTTTTGGGATCATTATCATAATCATTACTAGAATTTCTTTGCTGTCTTTCGAAATTTATCCAAAATGACCCATATGCAAAATTAAAACATTTTAAAATGTTTTTAAAATTATTTCATTTAAGATTACAAAACTAAAGCATAAATCTAAAACGCATCCAGCCCTTCTCTTGTGCAATTCAGTACACTGTGTGGCATGGTAAAGATTCCAAAAGATATAAAATATGAACAGTTATCAAGGTGAAGTAGGTAGAATCTGAGGACTGAGGAGTGGGCCAACATCCTTGAATCCCTGTGGCTGCTCGCCACTCAGTCCAAGCCTTTTTCTTCTCCTATCCAAGAAACCACCTGATCTGTATGGCAGCATGTGCAGAGTTGTGGCCTTGCTTGGCCAGTTAATGAAGCTAGTTGCAATATTTCTAAAATGCTCAGCTGGCAGCCCGGTTGCAAATCTCCCCTGCAGCACCAAGCTGTCCCTGTGAAGCATGGACCATTTTGCCTCAAGTCCCTGTGATGCCTGCTGTCATTGTGCCAGATGGATTTCCAGTACACTGAGGATTAGTGCTTAACTGGCAGGAGGGGCAGTGAGAGATGGTCTCCCGTGACTGCAGTGGGAGTGCGAATGAGCCACTAGGACAGAGACCGCTCTCCTTCTGTTTGCCACCTTACCTCCCTCGAGTTCCCGTCCCAACCCCATCTGTAACTGCATTAGCCCATCTGCTGGGTGGTTAGATCTGCCACTGCCAGAGGTTTGCGGAGTGTTTTGTAACGTTTGGATACATTAAAGCAGGACTGGATCATGCAACTCACTAGCGTTGCTGCCAGTAGTATTTCCTTTCTAATTCTCTTGCTTTCTCCTGCAAGAAGGGCATTCCATAGGGTGGCCATGGGTCCTTTGTTATGGAGGACGGTTTTCTGTTTGAAGAGCTGCCAAAGGACCATCCTCTCATTGAAGAGGTCCTGTATTTGAAAGGGTGTCCTGTTCATTTCCAGTTTTAAGGTAAAGAAGATAGGAATTACACATGGGCAGCAGATTGGGCAGGCAGGCATACCACCTGGTCACAGTGTTCTGCGTTATGGCTACCTGTGCAAATAAATCAGCTTATGGGCATTTTATGCAAATTGACATCCTCTTTCCTGGTTATGCATTTCCTCTTTTTGGGTGATTCATAAGTGGCCACTGTAGCCTCTTATTTACCTGGGCAGCTAAAAGGGTGTAGTGCAGAAAGTTTTGAAGCCTTGTTCCCACACATTGTCCTGCTTTGAAAAAAGCCCCCTCAGCACAAGCTGCCAGTTAACAGTGGGACAAGTAAGTATGCCATGCTGGTGTGCTCAGCTCTGCAAGCTCTCCTGATCAAATTGCTGTGAATAGAATGGAAGCCTTTACCTCAGTTCTGGTTGTGCCCTCACTTGCTGCCACCTGCTGCTGCTTCCCCAAGGACAAAGGAGACTCATCTTGGGAAATGGGGGTGGAGTAGCAGGCAACACAGGGCTTGGCTTATCCGTCAGTGGGAGAGATCCAAATGCGCAAGAGAGATCCTTTCCTACAGGGATTGATGGGCTGTACTACAAGGCGCATCATTCCTGGTGGGAGCTGGCAGCATAATTTTTAGCCAGAGGAGAAATCCATCCAGGCAGCTCTGATTGTTCTTACCAGATATCCACTTTCCCTTCTCAGGGTGAGGCATTGCTCTTTTCTTGAGGGAGGGGTTATCAGGCAGAGTAGAACTGACATCTAGCCCCTTAAGCATGAAGGTCAAACACTTAGAGGATTTCCTCAAAGTTTTTGGAATAACAGACTTAAAGACTCAAGCATTTCTCAACTGTATCATCAACAGTTTCTTTGGAACCTTTCCATTTTCTCTAATGAGCTTCTGTTCTAACAATTTTCTCATCATCCTCTGATCTTTCTTCTGGCCTACATCTTTTGGTGTCATTGGCTTATCTGCTGTGATACCACAGTGGCCCTAGATAGTGGACCCAGCCCATCTGTGACATCAGGTACTTCAAAGGCAGTGGATCTGACTGTTAAAGAAAACTATGAAGTTCAAATTCTAAGACATATTAGGAACTCTTTGAACTCACACCAGCTTGTCTTATAAATGACAGGCAGAAATTACTCTTGCTGATGAAAATATATAATGAGAAACAGGACACTAAATAGCTAAGCAGGCAGGTTACATCTTTTATACATTGCAGAATATGTGCATCTTGAATATTAAAAAAGAACATTTATTCAAAAGTTAATTGGGCAGCATATTTTTGAAGTTAGTGCAAGAACTTACACTTTTATGAGTAGCAGACACCATCCTAGAAGAAGATTTTTCTCCTTTCCCCCTTCCTTTCCCTCCCCTCCCCTCCCCTCCCTCCCTCCCTCCCTCCCTCTCTCTCTCTCTCTCTCTCTCTCTCTCTCACACACACACACATTCAAGAATGCCTCTTCTCAGATGCTGCATACTTGGATACATTTATGGATTACCTAAATACAAAGAAATTGTGTTTTGCTTCTCCCCCAGTAGCATTCAGTAGTGCTGTTTAAATTAAGTCTTAGTCAATTAACAGCCCAATCCTTTACATGTCTGCTCAGAAGCAAGTCACAGTGCATTCCACAGGGCTTTTAGTCTCAGGTTTTCAGGATTGCAAACAGGATTCTGTTGGTATAGTCGCTTAACATTCATGTAATTAATTGACTAAGGCTGTGGCCATATGCACACTTAACCTGGTTGGAAGAAATCTTGTTAAAAACAGTGGAGTTAATATGAATAAGGCTATGCTGCAAGATTTCTTTAATCACACGACTCTGCTAGCTTTCTCAACTCCCATCTGGCAGAAAAAGAAAAAGGAAGGAAGGAAGTCTTTTAGCATGGAAGTTTTTCCAATGCTACTCCTTAGATGAGTAGGGAGGCCATTTGGAGGGATGCCAGCTGCCCTTTTAGAAATGCAGCTCCCTTTTAAGAGATGAACCACACTTCTGCTTGTATTATATATAGCTCTGTCTATATATCTATAATACTGTATAGCCTTTCTCTGCACTTACATTATAATATCCCTTTCAAGAAGCACTATATGGATTTTTTTATTCATTTGTTTTCTCCTCACTACCAGAAACGAGTTCTGTTCCTCACTAATGACTATTTCTTCACGGATATCAGTGGCACACCTTTTAGGTGAGTGCACAGATTCTTTGGAGGGGCCTAGGCTGCCTTTCTTCAGTGGGAGATTATTTATTAATCATGTTGACTTGGCTTTGGGAGGGGCCATAACTAAGCAGCAGAGCACATGCATTACATGCTGAAGATACCAGATTAAACCCCTTGCATCAGGTAAGAGATAATGGAGAAAGGTAATTCTTTTGCCTGTGACTTTTGAGAGCCTGTGCCTGTCTGAGTAGAAGCCCCAGTAGGGGTAGATGGACAAGTATTCTATGCTGGTATAAGGTATCTTCTTGTTCTTCTCTCTTTATTTAAAGAGAAGAGATGGTCTGCACCACTGAAATATGACTATGCTCTTAATTTTTTTCTGTCTGGGTCTTACTCACTGGCATCGTAGCAAATTTAGAAGGGCAGGTGCTCATCTCAACAGTCCCCATATCCATAAACCATCTGACTGAAAATGAACATTTAAGAGTGTGTCCCTATGCTGCTAGACACTGTCCAGATGGCCACAGGATTGGAGTCTCAGCTCTGATCTCTGAGAAGCACTGCAAGCTCGAAACTGGCACTCCAAATCTGAATCATCCTTGAAGCTGGAATGGTTCTTTGCATGTTGACTGTGTAGTCAAGGTTGAAAGAGTGATCTCAAAGCTGGCATTCTGCAGGGAGGAGGGAAGCATTGCTGTCCTATGAAGAATCCTTGTTTTAAAGGGCAGGAGGAACACCAAGGCAATACTCCCTTCAGTGCTCCTTTCACCCTCCACTGGAAAGCTCAGTGGATGCCTCCAAGCTCAGAGGGTTACAGGCTGCCACTTTGGATGGCACTGCAAATGTCTTACCTTAGACTTACTGAGCCCAAACCATCCCAAGGGAGAATACAGGTGAGCAACGGAGTGGTTGCAGGACACTGTCCAGAGAGAGAAGGCAAATGTTCTCTCCAGAAAGCACTAGGCCCATATTCCTTGCTGCAATGCCTAAAGACGCAGGAGCAGCTTCATGTGTTTGCCCACTTTTCCCCCCATCCCACTCCAAAGCAGCAGAGCTTGGATAAGGTATGATGCTGATGTCTGTGTGTCAGAGGCCTCTCTGACCGGGGTGTCCTCCTCCCCTTTCTTTACCAGCCACCGCAGGGCTTCAGGAGGGAGCAAAGAATTTTTTTCCCTGTTTGATTGCGTCTCACCTGTAAAAACAGCTTTTCCCTCAAAATAAGAGGTGGTTTGGCCCATGGTCAGGCATGCTATTATAATAAACTCATTAGCCATAATGGGGGCACTTAATATATTGGGGATTAATGAAGAGCAACGACATCGTATCTCTTCAGGATTGTGTGGTACAATGAGTAGGCAGGGATGGAGCTGGGAACTAGCCATGAACATCTGGTGTATCTCTATAAATCTAGGGACTAGCTATATCCCACCAGAGCACCTGTAATGAGAGGAAGGCATCACAAGGTCAGCCCTACCATTAGGGAGAGTGAGGCAATCACCTTAGGTGTCTGATAGCAGCCTCCCAACTGTTTCTCCTGAACTCCTGAGCTGTTCTCTATATTGGAGGTCAAAGCTATATATGCCACAAAACATGTTCTGGACTGTCTAAAAGCAATGGTGCATTCACCTAAAAGTAACTCATTAGCCTCAACTCGTCCAAGCTTTTGCATGACTGGCCAGTGCGTTGCCCCCCCCCCACACACACACACTGCTTGGACTGGCTGTGACTTGTTTTTTCTAAACTAAAACCTCAGTTTTCAGGTTTTATTCCAGTGTTGACACATTGTGATAAATAAGTGGGTTTTGCGTTGCAGGTTGGGCACTTGGTCACTAAAAGGTTCACCATCACTGGGTGAGGGTTAGAGAAATGAGGTGTCCTGGCATGATTTTGATGGTTGGAATGTGTTTAGAAGGGGCGGACATGATGAGCTGTGCAGAAAAAGCTCCTCCAGGAAGGCTTTTTCAAAATTGCCCTCTTCAATGGAACTTTAGCCCTATATTAGGGTTAGGGGAGTGCACCAAGTAGGGTTAGAGCAGTGGTGGTGAACCAGTGGCACACATGCCACAGCGGGCACACAGAGCCCTTTGTGTCAGCATACAAGCCAAGTCGCCCCAGCATTGCCCCAGCAGCCAAGCATCGGATAACAGCACACATAGGGTCCATGCGCATGCTCAGAAAGAAATAGCAGCACCAGGCGATGATGTCACAAGCCACAAACCATTAGCTGTGACTCATCTGAGCTTTCTCATGGCTGGTCATTGCGCTACCAAGGATACACACACACACACACGTACGTTTGCTTGGACTGGGTGTGATTTTTTTTTTTTCTAAACTAAAACCTCAGTTTTCAGGTTTTATTGTAGTGTTAGCACTTTGCGATAAATAAGGGGGTTTTGGATTGCAGTTCAGGCATTCGGTCTCTAAAAGGTTCACCATCACTGGTCTAAAGTAACCTCTGGCCTCCTCAGGGGTGCTGGATGACTATCATCCCGTCATCAGTGCTGAAGCAAGCGAGATTCATTTGCCAGTCCAGCCAGTTTCTGTATGTGGCATGGGGAGAAAGTGTCGTCTTTTCCTTTGCTTCAGGAAGCAAAATGTCTTGGGCTGGCCCCGAGACATATCCAGCACCCTTTACTGTATTTTTGATGTAACACAAGTAAGATTGTAAGAGCTAACCAGGCACTGATGCTTGCATCCAACTTCAGCCTTCTTGGCCTTGTGTCAGCAAACAAACTTGGTGCATTTTGAAGGAAACATCAGTGCCTGGCAGAGATGTTGGAAAAATTCACAGTGGTCTCAAATGAGTTTGGATTTCTGTGAATCTAACCCACAGATTTTGCAGCAGACTGGCTTTTCCTGAGTGCACAGATACCACAGACTTGTGTATTTTTAAAAACTTTCTGTAATTATATGCTAATCTAGTTATACAAAATACAGAAAATAAAAACAACTAAACATGTGCATTTCCTTCACATAGATTAAATGTATAGCTTGGGGGGGATTTGTGTATTTTGGGGGACTTGTGTACTTTTGGAAGAGAACATTTGCACAAAATACAATTCTGTCAATGAGCAGATGATGGAATGAAAAGCTCTTGAAAATCTGCAAAACACAGATGGAATGAGACTGTCATACTTCAGGCGCATCACGGAAGGCCAGGCTCACTGCAAAAGCAATCATGCTAGGGAAAGTTGAAGGCAGAAGAGGACGAAGTTCAAATATGAAATGGCTCAATTCCAAAAAGGAAGTCTTTGAGTTTACAAGACCTGAGCTGGGCTGTCAAGGACAGATCATTTTGTAAAGCATTCATGCCTGCGGTCACTGTAAATTGGAGATGGCTTGATGGCATGTACAACAGTCCTAGTTGTTGGCTTACTAATTTCCTGTTAAAACTCAGTGAACAGTAGGGCGATGAATGAAACAATACTTGGCCAGAGTCAAGGACTTGACTAAAGGATTAATGGGGATTCATTTTGGCCATTCCCACATAGTGTGTCTCTCTGTTCTGCTTCCCTGGATGCTCAAGGCTTGCCCTACCATTAGGCAAGGTGAAAAAGCTGCCTTAGTCAGCAGCTCCTAGAGGTTTGCCAACAGTAGCAAAATGCTCGGTAGATGGCTTCCCTTGCGTCCTCAAAACTCATCTACAGCCATGAGGTGCAGTTAAAGATGCTGTCTCTTGCCTTCCTTGGAATAAGGTTCTTTTGTATGTGGAGTGTGTGTGTGTGTGCGCGCGCGCATGTATGTGCGATCTTTTCCTTTATATCTAGGTCAGCACTGCACCTACCTGCTGAAATGATATTCTTGCTAATTTGGTATGTACATGTTTGGTCTGGGAGATGATGTCATCATATATGCTGTGAAAAGTGTGGCAGCACTCTCTGTTTCACTGCACCACTGGTGTTATTTATTTTATAGTCAATAACAAGGCTAATGAGACCACAGACTGTAGACAAAAGCCAATCTGAAATAACGTGGGTGGGGGATCAATTTTCAAGTGACTGCCCTCATTTGGAATACAGATGGCAATTACCACCTATCAAACTAGAGCTCACCAGGTCTTAGCCAAAATTTGGAAAAAGCCTATAAAAGGTGAGGACAGTTACCTTCATATATCTGGGATTAGGGAAAAGGGCATCTAAGGAGAAGGCTTGGTGTCTGAGGAGGCTTCAACTGCAACATGCTTAATTTTAAAAATTAAGCATTGTCCAGATGATGCCAGCCAGCAACTGAGAGTCATCTGCACAGTCAACTTGTCTTGGCCTCCATAGAGAGACATTTAAATTGTTTGATTATTTCCTGGGCTAGCCTAACAGGTTAGATTGTGGCATTTTTCATTTTTATGCCCTCCTCACTGTTTGTGGCATACTATAGTCTGATTAGTGTATACTATAGTCTGGGTACCTATAGTTTGTTTGTGGCATACTATAGACTGGTTACCTCCTTTAGTCTGAAGGACGTCTGCCTTGAAGACAAATTACATGTTCAGAAATATCATGTGGCACAGCCACATGGTATTTCGGGATTCTACCCCTTTTGGGATTCTGCCCCTTCAAAATGCAGGTGCTCTCCCATATTAAATAACAGAAGTTCCTGGACACCAGGGAGAATGATGCGGCTAGTATTTCATGAGCAGAAAATGTTTGACATGGGAGAAAATGTATCCTATATACTAATAGCAACCTGTTTCTCTGAGTGTTGATCTGTATGTATTCAAAATGACACCATCCACACCCAAGCATGACTTACCAGCAAGCTCAGGGAAACCCAAAGATCTTCCCATGTACAAAAAGGGGGGACTTTTGAGAGGAGAAAACCCAAAATATCCCAATGGGGGCAGGCAAGGGGGTAGTCAGTGACCAGAAAACACTGATTACAGGGAAGCAAGAACAGAAACCAAGGAGGGAAAGACAATGAAAAGAAGTAGCCTAGGAAAAAGACATGGCTGGCTAGTTGGAAACCTGAGTAGGAATAGCATGCACCACATTTTGTTGCAGGTCCTACGTTTTCATATAATCTTCCATCTTTCTTCTGAAGTGCTACAGCAGCAGCTATATGATGTAGTATTTGTGAATATCATGTTTGGCTGTTCAGGAAATAGTTCATTGTTGGGTTCCTTCTTGCCTTAGAGTTATGTTCCTGGCCAGTTACATACCTCTAATTTGGAAAATAGAGCTTTTGTGGCAAATGCTTGAAAATTTCAAAGCTGCATTCAGTTGACTCTCTCAAAATACAGCTTTTGAGGGGTTTTATACATTCTGGATTTCTGCAGGCAGGAAATGAGGGGGTGCCTGAATATTAAGTGCGAGATAAGCATTTATCACACTAGTAATTTCATCACATGGTATACACCTTTATATGTCTACTTGTGAGCCAACATGTTTTATCTTCCAATAGCTTGGGAGTTGTTCTGTCACGAGGATATGGTGAATACATCCTACTTGGGAACACTTCAGTGGAAGAAGGTAGGTTGGATGTTACAATTTTATCGAACAATTGTGCAGAAATGGTGGATCACTCCTTTGTTATGCCACAGCTGGGCTTTAATTATGTTTCAAATTATTCTTTCTTTGCTGCAGCCTTCCTGCCTTGCTTAAACATATCCCTGTTTGAATGAGTAGCTTGATAGTAGAAACTTATCAGTTAAATAACAAAACCTGATTCAAACATCTTTTGGGACTGCTATATAGAGAGAGGGTTGGTACGAATATATAAATTAATTAAATTTAAATAACGCAATTTTAAATCAATTGTGTCCCCAAAATTGTAAGATCTCCACATTTCCCAAATCCCCACCCACTACAACTGGCCACAAGGACCATGCACTGGATGTTTCTTTTGCCAGGGATGTGCTAGAGCAGTGTTTCATAAACCTTCTGGGCTCTTGCTTCTGAATTTCTTCTACCATGTGCCATTGTATGGAAAGATCTGTGGACTAGCAGTCCAAATAACTGCTTTAACCAAATTCCTGGTCATTAGAAGAAGAAGAAGAAGAAGAGACCAGGACATTTGATTCCCTCCTAAAAACACAGAGCTTTCATCAGAAGCACCTCTTCCGGAAGTTAATTCTTTCAAAATCAGATTGTGGTGATGGGGCAGTGAGGGATGAAGTCATTCCTTATTTACCAAAATGTATTCCAACTATTTGAGCCTTGGGTCTTAGAATTAGGAATTTTGTAACTCCGGATTCTTGAATACCTGACTTTATGTCAGGTTCAAACCACCTTGGACCTAAAGGCATTTTTGATTTTCTGTCTGTAACAGACATTTCTCTTCTTTGTGTATAGAACAAAGTAGGGTATAAAAAGGGAACTCCCTGTATTCCTGCTAAATTCTTTTGACATACTCGCAGCCTTAAGGATACTTAAGGTGAGAGGTTTCACTTGTTATTTTTACCTCCTTTTCTGAAAATTTAACTTTCGTTCAGTTTCAGTACCTGGGGAAAATACATGGTATAAAACTTGACCTGCATGTAGAGGGATCCACAAAGTGGTGAATAAATGAACCTTTACTGTACTGTTTGCCTCTTGCTTTCAGGTTTGCATGATTTGCTGCAGCCAGACTTGACCTTGGCCGATGAGTGGTACGTGGCAGGAATTTTTCTGATTGTTGGACTTGATTGTTTGCTTTTTTTCCTGATTGTTGGGAAGGATGAGATGTAGCTGCTGTTTTGTTTTGGTTGCTAACCACCGATGACCTTGAGAAAGAACGTTTTCCATGCAGAAGACATCCCCAGTTGAAATATCTTAGTGGTGTTGGAGGAAAGGAATTTTGCCTGGGAGTATGCTTTCAGAATACATTGATGGCATTGCCCTCTATGCACCTGTGATCTGACTTGGCATAACACAACTTCAAAGATCTGTATCCCATCCAAAAACCACACTGTGTTGTGTTTAGCTTTTTATTTAGTTGCTAATTCATGTGCACGGCAATTTATATTTAAAAGGCTTAGACACCCTCTTAGGAATCCTTACAGTTTCCTGGAGGCTTCTTTATTCTTCTTGTAACAAGGAATGGTTCAAATATTACACTGTGGCACTTTTTCAGACATGGAAGGTGGCCTATAATTGGGTCACTATTACTGCGAGTGATGCAGTGTGATAGTTGAGAGCTTACAGGTCTCACCCACAACAACTTCCTTAATTTCTGATATATACATTGACAATCATAGACCTTAATTCTGCTGGGGTTTATGCTCAGTCCGAGACATGCAGACCTCCTGTGTGTGCCCAAAAGTAGTGCAAAGGAACTTCTGAATCACATATTTCTCTCTCTTCTCTTTCTCTCCCTCTCTAGGATTTATTGCATTACTGATATTGATCCAGATCATAGGAAGCTGAGCCAACTGGAGGCAGTAATTCGTTTCCTCACAGGAGAAGAGCCTGACCTAGAATGTGAGTGCTGAAAAGTATAGATATTAATCAGTATTATCCTGGGAACTTGTACATCAGCAGTAAGAGCAACCTTGTTTGGTTAGGAAGTTTAATGGATTCCCTGTGTCCTGATTTTAACACCCAGAGGTAAAACTTGTGGCAGATGAGGTTTCTAACTTGCATGTCATATCTAGGAACCCTGTTATGATTGAAAGCCACAATACACAGGTCTACCACTTCTGCTACATGTTCACCTATGACTTACCTATTCATCTCGTAATTACTCTTGCTGCCTAGGCAACACCATGTTCCTATATGCCCTAGTGTATAGTAGGGAATTAGAAGGGACCTCAGAGGTCATTTAATCCAACCCCCTGCTGATGGAAAAAATCAGGTACTACAGCTACCCCAATAAGTGGCCATCCAGCTTCTATTTAAACATCCCTAGCAAAGGATAATCTACCATCTTTTGAGGTGGACAGCTATTATGAAATAGCCCTGCTGAGGTCCTCCCCCCCCCCCCCACACACACACACACTAATCTAATCCCATTGGTTTGAGTCTTGCCCTCTGGAGCAACAGAAAACAAATTTGTTCAATCTTCTCTGTGACAACCATTCAAATATTTGAAGTTGTCAGTCATATTACCTCTTAATCATCTCTTGTCCAGGCTAAACATACTGTACTGTGTAATCAGTATGCTATCGTGGCCTAATCATAATTAATTCTTACTCTGACTTGTATTTTTAATTAAGTGCAAATTGGAAATGACAGGTTCAGCCCAAGCTGAGGCAGATGGTGACATCCACCTCTTGTCATGAGAGGCTAGTGAGAGGCAGAGTGCTTTCCCTGAGAATTAAAGTTGAGAGTTTGGCTATCGTGGTGATGGCTAGCAATTACTGATGTGGAGAGTCTTATCTCTGTTTGAATTTAACCATTTATAAGTTCTGGCTCTCACCATCATGGCTTCTTTCACCCTCATGTTCCAACCCGTCTCCACAGCTCCTTTTTCTTGCTCTGTTGTAGTCTGTAAGCCAACCTGGAGAAACTCTTGAAAGGCATCTGATAAATTAATTTAAAAAGCAAACTAACTGTGACTTCTTTTATCCCTTACTGCCATCTCCTCTTCTCTGGTTCTGCTTAGTGGGCAAATGCCAGTTTGGAATACTGCCTCTTCCACTCTTTTGTCACGACCATTACATTCTGACAGTTTTATGACAGAATGTAATTCTTCTTTATTTATTATTAGAGTTATATCCTGCTTTTTTCCAGTGAGCTCAAACCAGCTTACTTCATTCTCCTGCTACTCTCAGTCTTATCCCCATAACAACAACCGTGTGAGGTAGGTTGCACTGAGAGATTGTGACTGGCCCAAAGTCAACCAATTGGCTCCATGGCTGAGCAGGAACTAGAATCCAGTTCACCTGAGTTCTAGTTCTGTGCTTTTAAGCACTTAGACCACACTGGCTCTTCTGTCAAGCTAGTGGTCTGGGCTATAGGCTGGAACTCAGGTGGAATGTACTACTAGGTGATTTGTCTTCAGTGATAAACTGCTTGGTATATTCAGCACACTGAGAGAAGGAAAAAAATACTTGGGTGATTTTGAAACAGCATGGAGCAGAAGTAGAGTGGAAAAACTCAACTGTTGCCAAATATCACAAAAAGAGATTCTAGGAGTTCACTCTCCACTGCTGTTGCAGTTCAAGATTCCCTGCTGCTTCTTCAGCCTACTGGCCAAGTAGCCTGCATTCTTTAGGCAGGGATGTTCTAGGAATCTCACCTCTCCAGTGTCTCCAAAAGCGTGAATGAAGGAAAATCTTGAATTAAATGTGCCTCGCTAGCAAGAAAGTTACTCTACCTTAAAAGTGTAAACTTGTGGTAGGGGTTATCCACCTGTCCCCATGCTAGGTCCTTGTGGCTATAGTCCTTGTGGTTACTTGAAGAAAAAGTACTTTTCACATACTCGGAGTACTTTCTCTCATTGATATATCGTTCATACATATCAATAGTAATCCTAACAATATATATGGTTTTATATCATCTTGCAGCTTTTTGTTCTAATACATAATAAAGATAGTCCTGTTATATTTCCTTGTTTCCTTCTGTTATCTTAATATACACTGATTTTAACATAATATGCCAAATCCTCAACGTCTGTTAGTGAGGGACCTTTGTATGTATGTATGTATGTATGTATGTATGTATTTATTTAAAGTGTTTATATATACCGTCCACTACACGTGTCTCAGGAGGGTTTCCTTTCATTTATGGCTGATAGCTATCCTGTTAGTTGGAATATTACTGTATTTTTATTATTATTCACACTTATAGCCTGCCATTCTTCAGTTTGGAAGGAATTCATGGTGGCTTACAAGATTCTCCTCTCCATTTCAACCTTATAACAAGAGCCCTGTACAGTAAGTTAGGCTGAGGGCCCAAGATCACCCAGTGGGTTTCATGGCCAAGAGGGGACTAGAACCCAGAACTCTCAGGTCCCCAGTCCGACACACTAACCATTACAGCACACTGTCTCTCATGTCCCAAGCTTTTATGTGCTATCTGCTCATTTCTGCTGAGCTAGGTTGGATCACTCTGCAAAAAAATAAGATGCAAGGCAGTGGAAGCTAAAAAGATGCTCTGTGATTTATCCACTCGTTCTTTCTTATGCCAGGTGATGAGGAATTAGTTCAAGAAGTGCTCTTTGACGCTGTAGTAACAGCACCTATGGAAGCTTATTGGACCGCCTTGGCTCTCAGCCTCTCTGAGTAAGTACATGCTTGGTGAACGATGACACATCCTCCCTGCAGTTACACATGCCTTGGTTACTTCCAGGTTAGGTAACCGCAATGTGTTTACTTGGGGTTGCCCTTAAAAATGTTAAGGGCAAGCTTCCTGACAGCAGCCTATTTTTGTGATCACATAGTTTATTTGGTTTTTCCACTTCTGTTTATTTATTGCTTTTATATATCAACCAATGGCAAAACCTTTCTGTGTGGCTCCAAAAATTAACTCCAATAATTATGAACAATAGAACACAAGTATTGTATGAAGAACCATCACCACTTGTAGGAATGTACCCACAGCCTTCAGCCTTTCAAGGAGGCTTGTACTAATATATATATATATATCTGACTATCAGTTGAGGCTTCTATCTCTGAAAAGATCTCCCCAGTGAAGATCCCTTTCCCTCTGTGTTGAAAGAATTTGGCACCAGATAAGACCTCTTTTATTCGTACAGGCTTTGTAAAGCTTTAAAGCTTTTTGGTCACCATAAATGCTTTTATCTGCTGTGTTTTATGGGTCTTTCCCCTGCTTTGTTTATTGAGTTTAACAGGCCAGTGTTATGGCTGCAGATTGTTTTTTATTGTAATCCACTTTGGAAGTGCTTGCTGGGCAGAAGATGCAGTCTATAAATTTTACAAATGAACAAATGAATATTATAAATCTGTGATGTGGTTGATAAGCATGAAAGAAGGGACATTCTTGGACAATATAAAAGATGCATCTAGTCAGCATCCTGTACCAAACAGTGACCCCCCAGTTTCAGAAGGCCCATAAGCAGGCCATAAAGGCAATAACTTTTATCTATGTATCACTCTAACAGCTGGTATTTGTGGCTTGCTGCTCCTGGATAAGCAGGCTCCATATAACCATCATGTGTATTAGCCACTTACACATTTCTTCTCTATAAATTTGTCTAACTCTCTCTCAAAGCTGGTAGCTATTACCGTATCCTAAGTTCTAAAATTTTCTTTCTATATATGCAATATAGGGGCTTCTGTGTATCTCCTTTCTGCAGACCAGTAATTTATATGTCAGTTATTTTTCTTAATATCCCTCAACTAAAAAGCCCTGATTGATTTAGCCCAGGGGTTTTGAACCACTTTCAGCCTGAGAGCTGAATTCAATCCCTCTGGGGCCACACTCCTGTGGTGGCCAGAGCCAAAGCCAAAACAGGAAGAGTCAAGGTGTCTGAGCAAAACTATGAAACATACATATTTTGTTTCTTACAGATCTTATTGACAGTAGTTAAGCTTTAGGAGAAACCATCAGCCTTTCAGGAAACATGCACAAGAGCCAGGGAACGGCTGAATGATTGGCAATTCAGGGAGAGGGGTAGGGCCAGAGGAAAGAGTGTGGCCATCTGGGGAGCCCCAGAGGGCTGGATTTGAATTAGCCTTTCCTCCTAGGGGAAGAGTGTGTTGCAGATATGCGAGAGATGCAGACTGGAAGTCTGTGAGTCAGCTATGGCTGTTGATCTGAGACTTGCACTGATTTGTCCTTGCAACACTGAAAGGGATTTCGGGTGCAAGGAGGTGTCTCATACCGAGCTGCCTTATAGTGCTTCAGGCTATTGGTCCACCTTCCTCAGTATTATCTTCACATTAACATGCAGAAGCCTTCCAGGGTTTGAGGGAGGAGTATTTTAGCCCTCCCTGCTCTTAATGGGGGTTGTACCTGGGACCCTATGAATGCAACCTCTTATGACCTCTCTCCTAATCTGAATTCATGTGGTACAAAGGATAATGAATCAGTGCTACTGAACCCCCCTCTCTCTCCCCCCCCCCCCCCACCAACAGTGAGACTGAAGGAGGAGTGGAGATGGCCTTTATGGGAACTCGGGCTGGACTTATGAGGAGTGCCCTGTACATGGGCTCCGAGAAACTTTCCAATGGGTGAGTCCTTCCAATGCACATCTGTCTCTATTGTACCTATGTGTTGTTTAGGATGACAGAGATCAAAATACATTAACAGAGAGTGAACATTCTGCCAAGGAACAGACAATGGCTGAGTTCACACGACATGGCAAGCAACCCTGCACAACAGTGCACGGATTTTTGCCTGAACTTACCAATCAGATGATCATAGGATTTCCTAGGCAGTGAAGTTTCCACATTCCCTGCTCCATCCTCCCAGTCTCGGCATGTATCCCAGTAGCCCCTGTCCTTTCCCTGTTCTTCCCTATGGACTGCACCAGTCTCCTCTTGATTGGTCCACAGTGGTTCTGAGGTGGGTTCCCCCTTCCCCTTCGCAAATGCACCTGCATGCATATGGCACTTCCCAAACACTGCCCCCCACAGAGATCTTTATTAAATGAAAATGAACAGTTTCATCCTGACTCTCCCTTCTTCTTCTGTGCATTTTTTGCTCTAGACACATCACTCAGGTAATGGGAATAAAGGGAGCAATCACATTTCTGTTGCTAGAGTGCTGAGGACAATAGAGAACACAGTCTACGTAGACCAGGTCACCTCTGTGGCTGCTCTTGCCAGGAGACTCTATGGTGTTTTCATACCAATAATGGTAAAATGACAATCCTGGGATCCAAAGCATAGAAACCTTTCAACAGACTGTTGAGTTTCTCTCTGGTTTTCAGAAAATTAATCCTACCATGCAGGTCCTGGGTCCAGCCAGCACAACAGACCCACAACAGTAAGATTTCATCCTGGCTTTTCACGTTGTGTGAATCGGCCCAATATGAACATCACATTACCTCAAAAACACTTGTTATCATTGTCAAACCTTACTACTTTCTCTGTTGGAAATACTGAATTCTGGGTTAAGGGCATCTTTGCAAATTGCTAATGTTGCCTTAATGCCAACTTAGCACAGGGCTTCTGCCAGTGATTTCATGATGCATAAAAGCAGTTAATTTCACAAATGATGTAGAATGTAGTAACAGATGGTTATTGCTTCTCTGGAAAAAATAGGAGCCAGTTTAGCCACCCACAGCACCAGTCACTATCTTGCTTTCTATATGTTCAGCAATTTTACTTGTTACAAAATTAAACCCAGAAACCCATTCTGTTCCCTTTTATATGAACCTGAGGGCACTTTTGCAATGTGTAAAAGATTCCCAAAGACACAGACTTGATCTGACCCCTAGGACTAAATTATTGCTTTAACTTCAGAATCTGTTTTAAATCAGGTCTTTGCCCAAAGTATCAGAAATGATGTTGGCTGGTAAAAAGTATTTGACCTGATCCAGGCAATGGTCAGGTTTCCGCATGGGCATCTTTAGCTGGGTGAGGACCCATGCACACATATGGGAGCTACACTTGTGGGTTGTCCCTTAATTCAGTGCTGGGGCTTAGGAAGTGAGCACATAGACAGCACAGCTCTGTTCAAAATTGCACATTATCTTTACCCTACATATCTGCATACTTAACCCTCAGGCAAAAATAAGGGTACTGGGGTGTTTCCATTTGAGTGGTCCCCAGTGCTTCCAGTAAGAAGGCACTGTCTAGTGATTCCTTTCCCCCCCAGTGGAGATTTTCCTGTAAGAAAACATGGGAAAACAAAAAAGGAACAGAAACTGAAGACCATGTTGTCTGGACAATATAAAATTTTGTAAGTGAGGCAACACAACTACATAATAAAAGCCTGATCTGGAAGCACATATACATGCATACATATCAGTAAGGAAAAAAGAGAAGAGTTTGTGTAGTGTATTGTTTAAAGTGTTGACTTGTGTTGCTGTTGCTGATCCAACATCTAGTCTCTATCAGCCATTAAGTTCACTACGTGACTTTGGGCCAGCCATTGACACTCATTTAGCCTACCTCACAAAGCTGTTGTGAGTATAAAATGGCAAGAAGGAGGAAGGTTATGCAAGCCTCTTTGGATGCCTTGGAGGAAGAATGGCAAGATATAAATAAATAATTGTACCACCACTTTTCCAAATGTCACTACTTATGGATCTTTTCAAGACTGCATGTCATTGAAAGTGCTTTTCTCATTTGTGTATATATTCTACAATAACCCATCCTGCATTGATTACAAAGTAAAGAGAGTACATTTTATTTTTAATTAAAGATGGCTTACCAAAAATGTTGTTGTTGCAGTTATACTGTTGTTTTGCACAGTGTAAAAGTCCTTCTCATTTTATCCTCACAGCTGAGAGTTGGTGACTGGTTGAAAATTAAATTAGAGACTCCCATGGCTTTGTGTGCCATGAGAGCCTGGATGGTGGTGACCCGCCCTAGATTATTTAGTATGACTATAGCTTGGTGCAGATTTCTACTCATATAATACATTATCCTCCCCAGCACTTCAAGTTTAATCTTGCTAACTGCAGCTTGTGAAATTGCACGCTGTGTTGTACATGCTACGTTAGTGTCCATGTTTGTGTATTTACACACATGTGTGCATGCATATGTGAGCCAAAATGCCTCTATCCAATAGATACGTACTTCAGGAGTCCCTGGGGAAGGAGCAAAAGCCAAAGCAATAGCATTTCTACACACTAACAAGATTTTTAAAGGCAACTCTGAAAGGCAAACCAGGGATCAAAAGGTGAAGTGATTCCCTAGAGGACCAGCAGCAGAATATAGGGCCCATCACTGGTAAAAAGAGCACATGCATCTGAGCCTGGGGAAAACTTGAGTTTCTGTGTCAAGGTGCGTGTTTTCCAGGCAGGTTCGGTCTTTCTTTCTTTCTTTGCAAATAGTGCCTTGCTAGAGGTAGCAAGGAAATAATTGGCAACCTGTTCTTTGGCTATTTGACTTGAGTAAAAGGATACCTTTCACCTGTTGGCCCCACATATCCTGCTGCATCCACTGTCTGGAGTAACTGGATCTCTCTCAACTACTCTAGTACTCTCACTTACTTGTGGCAACATTAGTTTGTAGATGCATGGTATCAGAGGTTAGTAACAGAATCTCTCAGGTAATGGATATTGCTACAGCTAGCTTCATATCAAATGATCAGGTATTCTGGTCTGGACCATAAAGTCCTACTTTCAAGTGTCCTAGTTTATCCTCTAACACAGTTTTTGGTGGGCTGGCAAAATGTAATTAAAACCCACTGGGGAAAATCTGCTCTGGAAAGACATATCTGAAAGCATTGTGTATCTCTCTAGAGTATCAATGTGTACAGATCCATAAAACAGTGTAAACAGCAAATGAGAACACTAGACTCTTGAAACAGAGACAGTTCCATGATGGCAAACCATTTGTACGTATTTATTTTCCATGCAGATGCAGTTTTCATCTCACCACCTTTATCCCTTCATTCTGATAAAAGATTAATAGTGGTATAATAAAACCTCCACATCTAGTGTTATCCTCAAATGGGTCTTCCAGCAAACCACACCCTACACAGCTACAATTCTTCTTTGTGGACTCTGTGCATCACACATATGGACTCTGTGCCTGTGTGGAGTCTGTTGCTAGGAAGATTCAGTAGCTACGAGTGTTTCTTTGCACTGTGGTCAATTCTATATGAAACCAGTTTTGCTGAAAAGGAACTATCCCCTCTCCTTGCCGTTAGGTGTTGCACATGAACAATTCAGCTTGCTTGGTGTGGACAACAGCTCCACCTGGTGGGAAAAAGGTATTACAGTCTGGACTCCAAGCCTGCCGGGGTGGTGGGCAAGATAGATTCCAGTAGGTTGAGGCATGGTAATTTTTCAAATGGTAGATATATGTAGTGATTTTTAAACTTTTTGCTGAATTTCCCATTTTTTTCTGAAGAAGCTTCATTTTTAGACTAATCAGCTTGCTTGAGATGTTGCTAGATTGGCACAATATGTATGCTGAAATGGTTGCATCATTAGTAGCAGGGGACAGCAGACCACATCCAGTAGCGCAGAAGCCTGTGTGTTTCCTCGTGCACCATGTGCAGCTACTCATACCCACAATTTCCCAACATCAGGCTCCTTCTTTGAATGGGTACAACTAACTTCATAGTCCTGTGCCTATGGTTGTCTGGATTAGGACAACCTGCTGTGTTTGTTTCTCAGACAGAAATAGCTTGCAAGGTGCAGGTGAAACTACAGCAGAATCATTCTAACTCTGTGTAGAGACCCCAATAAACATTTCATTTTCTCATACTCAGAATAAATTATATAGAGTCCCTGTGTTGACAAATGTTTAATTAACGAACATTTACTACCATTTGGCCAAAGGCTTTAACCTTCTCTCTTTCTGTCCCTGAAGCACTTGAGTTTCAACATGGATTTATGGCACAATTAAGGGGAACATCTTTTTCAGCTTCTTCTGTTGATGGAAGCAAGTTACTAAGTTATCTAAGAAGACATGAAGGTCTGATCCAATCTAATTCTCTGCTTGATTTCAGTGACACTTAAGCATTCGATCAGGACCAAGAAGTAGAAGGGTCTTGAATTAAAATGGATTCCTGACTTTACTGATGGACCTGATTTGTATATCATGACAGCCCAGGGGCAAGATAGCCCAGAGACGATCTGGAGAAAAGGAGCAGTCTGCCCACATGCATCTGCCAGTTCTGTTTCTTTCTCGGCAACCTAAGAGTCATCTGTTCATAGATGGTTGAGAGTGGTGTGTGATCCCAGAGCACTGGGCTCTTTAGGAACTATAAACAGTTACCCTATAATTCATTGCAGCCCTTAATCCAGCACTCCAGGTTTGCACACCATACTCAGCAACCTTTGAATGGTTCATTTGTAAGCTTCTACTTAAAAATACAAGTGACTGGCCTGCTGCAAGCAATACTCTTGCTCTCTCCCACTAGGACAGCCCATGGGTTGTTTAACTCACTGGCTGTCATTAAGTGCAAACTTTCCTTGTGTTGCCACCGCTTTTATTAGCCATGGGATTGTTGCAAAACCTGAATACTGCTGCACCATCAGAAAGTGGCCTAATCAAACCTAGCTATTTTTCTTAATTATCTGTTGTATTAGAAAGATAGTATTTTCAAAATTAGCCTTTTACGAGACCTAAGAAGTTCCAAAGATGGCTTATGCAATGGGGAATCCTTCTGGTATGGTAAAAGCTCATATATTGGCTAGAAGACTATATATCGGTGTGTTTGTGTCACCCATTCCCAGGGCTTCCACCTGTTGCAACAAATACTGTACTCGTCAAGCTTGAGTAAATTGGTAGATTGGGAGAACATTCAGTAGTTACAAAAGCATGTATGGTGACTTGTCTTTAGTAGCATCTTATATGAAATGATGGGCATATAAAAAATACCACCTGAACGATACTAATCATAACTCAGTGGTGGAACACATAGTTTGCATGTAGAAAGTCCTAGCTCAATTTCTGCCATTGCTAGGGCGAAAAATCAGACAATGAGAAAGACCTCTGTCTGGGTATCCTGTTTCCTGTAGAGGCTTTGCTCTGTACGATTCCATCTTCATTAACTAGGTATGTTGGCCATCAGTGACAAGTCTTTTTTTTTAATTCCCTGAAGTTGAAACATTTTCCCCAAATATACCAGCCTAGGACTTATTATTTTTAGGCTCCAGGAGAAGGCTTGGTTTACCAAGCCTTCCAGGGATAACCATAGAAAACCTTTATTTTATTTTACATTGCTGATTTACCTTTCAGTCCAGATAGGACCCCCAAGGGAATTTCCAGTTAAACATTAGTTAAATATCTTTTTAAAATGTGGAGCTACAAAATATTTTAACACTGTAATAACCTTTTAAAGTGCAATTCTACAGGACTGATATTTAGATTGAAGACTCAGATTTTGGAGCTTTCTATCCATCTTGAGTCCTGCCAGCAAGAACCTTGCAAAGCAGGAGGAATGACAGATTTTTTAGTCTCTCTGTCCTCTGTCACGTTTTAGCTGGATGGGCCTCTGAGCCCATCAACTTTGCTGAGGGCAGGAATGGGCACTGAGTGACATGTAGAATCAGTAGATCCAGAGCCTCTCCTCTCCCTGCTTCCTTGCATATCCCAACATATCCTTTCCTCCATTCCTGAAGCAAGGTGCTGGCACAAAGAAATCACTATTTTAAGTTGTCATATTTAGAAACCATGTGCTAAACTGATTTGTAATCTGTTGCTGCTTTTAGCCCATTTATTTTCTTCATGTTGTTGTACTGGCTTTAAAATTTAATGTAAAACATCTTCTACATCAAATTAGGCAGGATATACATATTCTAAATAAATATACATTTTCCATCAGGACCTGTCAAGGTCCAAAGCTAGGTTCACACACACACACACACACGCACACATATACATTATATGATGACTAGGAGCTGAATGTATGAAATAACTCCAGTGGAAAAATACTCTGTCCAGTACAATGTGGAGACAGGAAAGTCCATCCTTATATGCAAATGATCACTTGAAGATCTAGTTATCATATGTCAAGTGTGCATGAGTAGCCCACTTCCTAGAGTGTATGGATTCAGTTGATGTTTCATTCTCAACATAACATTCAAAAATGCCCCAGAAATTGGGTGGGGATGAATAGACTATGAAGGGTGGTTTGATTGATTGATTGATTGATTTATATCCTGCCTTTTTCCTACAAAGGGCTCAAGGCAGCTTACATCATTCTCCTCCTCCATCTTATCCCCACAACAACAACAACCCTGTGAGGTAGGTTGGGCTGAGAGTGAGGTAGGTTGGGCTGGTTAAGTCAGATTACTTTTTATTGGGAAACCAGTTGATCAGTGTAAGAATGGTGTAAGTAAATATTGTAAATTCTAATTGATTCCAACCACTTGTGAGGCTTCCTGACATGCAATATGTATGATTCAGCTGAATAGAAGTTCTGCATGTTTGTTTGTGTAAATGTTTAATCATGGAGCTAACTAGGTGACTTTGGGCCAGTCACAGACTCTCAGCCCAACCTACTTCACAGGGTTGTTGTTGTGAGGATAAGATTATGAGGAGGAGAATTCTGTAAGTCACCTTGAGTTCCTTGGAAGGAAAAAAGGTCTGATATAAATATAATAAATAAGCATAACCTTAGCTAACAAGTTATTGATAACTCAAAATTGGATCATGAAGTTTCTACCATATAGTCCACACTGCAACTTTTCATTTAAACAAAACATTTTGTTCTGATTTCTCACTTTGATTGCTTGGCATGCCTTTGAAATAGCAGAGTGCTATTTTGGGGATGAAATGGAAAGGAGACCTCTTTATACAGCCAAAAACGTGTTTGGGAGCTTAGTTTCTCTGTCTGAAGCTCACCTTGATGTGTAGCATTTCTGTTAGGTCCTAAAATGTTTGTAAACTGCAACTGTGAGCTGTAACCATATTCCCTACAACAGCTTTGTCCTTCTCTGCAATGGTTCTTGTGTACAGTAAGTACACACCTTTTTAAAATATGCCTTGGGTCCTTTAAAGCAAGACATGCTCTGCAAGTAGGCATGTTTCACCCTGTAGCTGCAGTCATTATGCTTGTGGTGGCTCATTAGGCAGGCTGCTTCTGGGAGTGGATGCTGTGGGGTGTAAAGAGTAACAGAAAATGAATACTGATGCATAAGAGCCAACAGTGCAATCCTATCCATGTTTACCTGCAAGTAAGCAGTGCTTTGCTCAAATGGAGCTTGCTGCCAGTTAAGTGTGCACAATACAACAACATTAAGGAACTGAACTTCACAAATTTGCCATAAAACTTACCCACTGTAAGGACACAGCTTATATTAGTCAAATGGGTATGGATACGTGTGACACAAAAACTAATGAATGGAGAGGATAGAGGTAGGAATGGATACTCCCTGTCCCCAAAACTATACAGGAAAATCATGCCACTGAATAGAGTTGGGATCGAGGAGTCCCACAAATCTCAGGTTCTGGGAAGTAGAAGTCTCTTGATAAAGGAGCTAAATAGGAATAGAACAGTCAGAACAGTATTCCCAGTCTGGCTTTCTTGAAGTGTGTTGGACTGGAACTCCCATCATGCAACTTCAGCATGGACAAGGATTAGAGTGAGTGAATGAGTGAGAGTGGGACATCATGGGAAAAGTAAAGGGAAAACAAACAGAAAAAAAGAAAACATTGAATTAGATTGTTGTTGTTGAATGTTCCTGCATTTGATGCAGTGTGGAATGTGGTATCCAGGGAAATCTAAAATGTTTCTTTGTGTGCATATGCACACACTGCATGAGTAAAATGATATATCCAAGTGATTCCTTTAAAATGTATGAGGAGTTTTAAAGAGTCCTTTAAAGTGTTGATATCAGGATTTTCAGGCAAAAGGGGAAAAGATGCATTTTTTTTCCTTTCAGGAAGTTCTTGACCCGTGCAGATAAGGAGAGCATTTTCACCATGGACCACTTCCCTCTTTGGTACCGTCGAGCAGCTGAACATCCCTCAGGGAGCTTCATATATAGTATTTCTTTTGAAGATACTGCAGGTAATGCCATGTAATTCATGTGTTTTAATACTGAACATAAATTGTACAAGTTAGAAGGCAGCATCTCAGTATAGTGAAGATCAGAAACTTAGGATGTTTTCAATCAACACTTCCCCACCTACCCTCAAAAAAGAGTAAGAGTAAGCCCCTTTGGGAGCTAAGGTCCATTCTTTCTGCACAGAAATGAAGGCATGTGAGAATCATGCCCACTGACCACTTGCCACACAAGGCCTCCATACGTTCCAAAGTCTTACCTACATGGTTGCCTACAGAGGATGCCTAGGGAATCTCTGCATGTTGGGTTGTATATACTGAGGTGTTTGTTTGAGCAGACAGGACCTTGACACTCATGATGGTCAGGTGCAGTCAGCAGACGCAGTCCCCACACTCCCCAGTTGAAAATGCTTCTGTTCATGAACATTTATCAGGTTATGGGTTAGAGCTGAAGAAACAGCAGAGTGCTGAAGAAATGCCTGTAAATCGTTTTGTAATCATTAGTAGTCTGTATAAGAAGACTTCTCATCGCATAGGTGAGAAGATTTTGTTAGCTGGTTTGACAAAGAACTGGGATAGTCGTGGGTTTGCTCAGGAACTGAGTAGAGTCCGTTTCAGCTTACTTGCTAAATGAAGACTGTATTGGTCATTGTCAAATCTTGCCTTTTGCCATGGCAGTACAGTAATGCAGGCTCTGCACCCCATGAAAAATGACACACAGAAGGGTACTTTTAGGCAGCCAAAATTAGCCCAGTGCAGAAGCTCTCTAAGGGCAATTTGTGCCATATGCTTTCATTAATCACACAGTAGGTGTGTCAAAATTGCATCAAGGTAATTGATAGATGTGCAGGGGGTGGGAGCACACCTAGATTTGTGAAGGGGAGCTGTACATGCCAGTCTATCAATCAGTTACTAATTTGAGATGTGTTTACCCCAAGGTTGTTCAAGGCAGGAAACCTCTCTTCCCCTTTCTCAGTTCTGAGCTGGTTTCTATGCATTAAAATGTCTGTGATATAAAGGAGGCAGTCACTTTTCTAACTTCAGTCATCCCTGTTCAGTACAGTCTCAGAAAGTTTTGCCTTTCATACCCCAGTGAAATTGATTATATTGTTAAATCAATAATAAGAACCAAATAGGGGAAAGACTATGGGAAGTCTGGAAACTACATGGTGGTTAAAATGACTTTGAAACCTTTCTCACTGCTTGCTTGCTCAACTCTTCTGCATTTAGGCCTGTCATCACAGTACACAATGCTTTCACCGCCAAGCTTTTTTTGGCAATGTAGTGGGAGGGAGGGTGGGTGGCAAAGTCAACAATAAGAAAGGCAGGGGGGCGGGGGGAAGGTGAACCAGGAGATAAAATGTGTGCATTGGAAAGTACTAAAGCCATCTCTTGTTCTTTTCCTTTTTATGTTCATTCTATAGTTGCCAGCTGCCCCTTCCTGAAGTACTCAAAAGTATAAATATGTGTTCTGTTAGTAATATGTCTGGAAAACTTGTAAACAAGTTTGAGCCAGGTCCAAAAAACATTTCTGTGTGTATCTGACTCCACCCAGATCCTCTAGATGTAAGAATATGCTACAGAGATGGGAGGAAGCATTTTTCCTCTCCCTCCATGTTTATTGTCCCCCATAACAGTGCCTTTTATGATCGTCTGTTAACTGAGCAACAAGCTTGTTGGTTGTTTTCAACATTGATTCACCCATCTCCAATAGCACTTTGTGATAATGATGCAAACACTTCCAAAAATCAGTCATCCCATAACCTAAGGTGTTATTTTAGACATCCCTTTGGGGAGGGAAGATAGGCCTGAAAATGAAGTCATGAAAGAAAGTGCCTCCACTTTCTCCAGGCTTTCCTCTCATAGGCTGACTGCTCCCTCCATTCCTTCTTCCTTCAGATCCTCTACCTTTGTCCATTGGTTCAGCTGCTTCCATCTCTTAGCAACTTGCCAACTTCATCCTCCTTTGCTTCTGGAATTGCTGTTCGATTGTGTACAGAATTTGTGATAGAAATTGATACGTATGATCATAAGAAGAGTCCTACTGGATTAGACCAAGGGTCTTCCTATTGGACCTTCTTGTTTTCCACAATAACCAACCCATAACCCATACCTTGAGAATGTCACAAGCAGGGAATGAGACCAAGAGTCCTCCTCTGCTGTTCCTTGCCCATTTCACAATTGGTCTTTAGTGGTATACTGTTCCCAAATGTGGGAGTTCCAGCTATGACATCAAATCATGCCTAACAGCTATTCCTTCATAAATTTGCCTTGCTATGCTAGAGATACAAAAGCATACAGAATTACCATCTGAAAAATCTGGGAGGCTAAAGTGGCGGTGCATCTGTTGGTGTTCATGAATGGGTTCAGGAAACTTTGGAAGCTTTATTGTCTGGCTTTTGGAAGCCTTGCTGAGGTTCCTGTAGCTGTTGATCTGTTAACAGTGACTCCCTCCATGTATTCACACTTCCTGATGATCTGAAAACCCTCTGAATTTCTCAGAGGGTGCCTGGACATACCGCATAGATCCAGCAATCACCTTTCTGGATTTCTGCTACCTAGTGCCACTTTGTTCTGTTGCTAACATTTTATCTCACAATAGTTACTTCAGGACAACAGCTCACCCTTCATTTTTCTTTATTATGAATGAACCTAATGAATGTGTGAGAGCTGTAAAGTAGAGGGGTGTGCGTGTGTTTGTATGCGTGAGTGAATTTTTATTAAAAAATGCAGCATGGGGGTTAGAAAAAAGTGACCCCCCCCCCACTTTACTTCCCCTCATTCCACTATTTGAAGATTTTTCCCTTAGATGGTTGGCAGCAAGTTTCAGAGCTGGACAGAAAGGAAGAAAAATAAGCAGCAGAATAAGGAAGGGTCTCTGGCTCTGTGATAGAGAATATGCATCATGTTTAGAAGGTCTCTGAATGGGTTGAAAAAACTCCTGTCTAAAATTCTGGAGAGTTAGTGCCAGTCATTGTCGACACTACTGTTTCATGTATAGAACTGATGACACTGCAGGCTGTTAGTCTGAGGAGTCATGAAGGGCTTTATTACTGCATCCGGGTCGAAGGTAAGAACAGGAAGCAGGAAGTATAAATCAATGCAATATTACCATTGGTAGTTAAAAGCACAGTATTTGCATAGTAACTCCATAACAACAACTGCTGCACCAATAGCCTGGTACAGTATAAGGCAGTTTCCCAAGATCCCATATTGCTAAATTGTGGAAGAGGGTCAGTTTCCATTTAGCGCTAGAAGCAGACTCCTCATCCCTGCTTTGCATCCTCATCCACCACTGGTTCAAACCCGAGTGTCTGGTATTTAGGAGGGTGCTTCAAGTCATATATGCATTGATTCTTTGGTGGAGCTGAACATCAGTGTAAATGTGCTGAGTGTCATAATATTTTCTACAGGACCCCATTGCATGGTAAAAATTCTGTCTTGGAATAGTAATCACTGGGGATTAATACGAACTTGTACAGGATATTTCTTCTGAACCCTCTGAAGAAAGTTCAGTTTTCAGTTCAGCCTGCAAAAACAAATCTGACCAGAACTGACATTGGGATCAAAGAAAAATTGATGTACACTATGGAAATGTTGCCTGCCACAACCCTCTATGAACTCCTTTTAAAATGCTTGTCTGTCTCCATTCTTGATGTGAAGGTTGTGGGGATATTTTCAACTCCTGCTCCATGTAGATAGGAGCGATATATAAGAGTATATGTGCCCAGGATGAGAGAAATGTCACATTACTCTAATTATGTTACATTCCCTGAGGGGCAACATGCAAAAGGTAAGGTCAGAAGTTGGAATTTGTACCATGTCCAGTGACTGAACTGAAAGCCTACATTTCCTTAGGGCTTGTGCTGTATGTGTACACATGCCAGGAGGTCACATGGCATCCTGCTGTAGGGTTTGAGTGTCCTTTGACTATCCCCAAAGTTGCACAAAGAAGGGGGCATAGTTTTGAATGCAGCAAGGATAATGGTTGATGCATATAAATACTATGCAGAAGGAGTGTCCTTGAACTGAAGAAGTGCTCCCTTAGGTCTGTGCAATGCCCTTCCACAAATCAACTTAATTCAGGGTTTTCTTTAAAAACAATCTGCACAAAACCTGAGGCTAGAACTGAATGAAGCTGCAAAGTCATGTTCAGGACACATTGGGCACTGGTGATTGAGCCAAGAATAAAAAGCAATGACAAGGGCTGGAGCTGTGGGGGAAAAGAAAGGAAACCCCTTATGTTGAGACAGAACATTCAGTAAGGCAAAATGCTGGAAAGGAACAAAATCATAAAAAATATTATCAGAAATCCTGACCTCCAAAATGTCCCTGTTATCACAGAAAATGGAACAGCTGCACAGTATGAGGAAATATAACAAAGCTAGCCTATACTTGATTCCAAAGCTCAGTTCTCCCAAGCAGCAGCTGAGAGCATGTTTCTCAGCTTCCAGTTCAGACAGCAGATTGAAGGTGAATGCAGCTTTGAACAGTATCAACAAATTGTAAATATAAAGCTAGATGACAGAATTTCAGCCTAACCTTCTCCCGGATAGTTTTCTGTGTAGAGGGAACTTTTTTGTATGCAGTAACTTCATGGGAACCCTTCAACTGTTCTCAGAACTGGCATAGTCTATACTTCATCTACTGTTTGGAAAAACTAGTCTCTTATAGAATATTTTCTGGTGCACCAATTATTGGAAGGGATTGTATCCCTGTTCCGTGGTAAAAAGGGCTGCAGCAGCTGTCCCACATGAGTAGTCGTTAATTTCTTCAAGATCACCAATGAATCAAAACTGTCATTATCCCATTGGGCTGACAATTATTTGACTACTTCTTGGAACTCAGCCCTCACAGTCACCTGTTTCTGCCTCATCCTTTGGCAGAGTTTTGCATTACAAAGCTCGAAAAGGTTTGTCCCTCTGCTGATAAACTAAATATTGATTGGCACAGGAATTTCTCAAACTAAGCAAGTACACTTTGTTGGAGGGACAGGGGAAAAAACATAGAGGCCAGGGAACATTACAGGCTGTTGCACTGGCTTGGTTCACGGATGCAGTTCCTGTCAACAAAAGACCTTCAAATGACCAACTTCAGGCTTTCTTGTATTTCACTGTTGGAAATAGTAGGCAGATGAGGAGTGCCTGTGACCCCCTCATCTGCCTACTACGTACCCTGTGAACCTGTCACAATTGCAGGAGCCCTTTTTTTAAAAGCTCAAACTTGAAGCTGTTCATGTGGAGGACTTTCAGTGTGAGGACAGCCTGTGGCAGTTCCCTTGGTCTTGATGAATAGAGGCTTGAATGGCACATGCAGAAAGGGGAAGTTGTTACCACCAGGAAGTATACTGGCCTTAACTGCATTCCATACATGCTGCAGCCAATTGAAATAACTTTTCATGGTTCCCCTAGCAACCACTTGGTAGTTCCTGCTAAAACTTATGCTAGTTATGACTGTGTAATTTCTTTAGTAACAACAGTTCACGCTGTAGTTTAATATTAAGGACATTTAGAGTCCCATACCAAGGCATATGATAAATATCTCAAGTCATTCACAGTGTTTATTTCTCATAAACTTCCACAGGCAACGTTGACAGGATATGTTAGTTCTTAGCAGGGAGGGTGTGTGGTGTGTGTGTGTGTGAGTGTGTGTGTGTGTGAGAGAGAGAACATTCCCACCTCTCAGATCTGTATTTCTCTAAGAAAATACCATGCATGGATCTGCTATTTTAGTATTTCAATAAGAATCATAGTTTGGTTTGGGAAATATGGGCATAAATATCATCCTCTAGCATTGAGAATTAGGAAATTCTATTATGCTAGTTGTGGGTTATGAAGTAATATTCCTTTATGCTCAGAAAAGCACAGAAGCTACTTCGGAAGTTTTGTTTGACCTAGTTCTCACAAATAGCAGCTGATGCAGTGTCTAGGATGTGTCACTTCAGACTGCAGGTATGAATGAAAGCCACGTGAAGACTATTCCTGACATAGCTAGCAGGGGGAAAGGTCCTAGCCTAGCTGTCTCCCTGACATGTTAGCTTTCTACTTGAAGAGATATTTCCCCTTCTGGAGGAGCATTCAGGCAGATAAACTCTCAAGAACCAGTAGCCTAAAAATGGTGTAATCCTGTCATAGTTTTATTAAATCAACAGTTGTTTGTGACTTTTGTGCTTGATTTATGAAAGAGTCTGTTCTGAGACCCTCTTCTCAGGAGCAAAGGAGAAGTAGGATGAGTTACTGAAACTGCTGTATTTGTCTTTTGACAGAAGGTGGTCTACCTGAGGTGGTAACAGTGAGCACATCTGTGGCTGTGACTGTGGGTGGGAAGACAGGAATCGCTGCAGGTAGGAGCCTATTTCTATGCACTTGAGGCATAATGTTGGAGATATGTATGCAGAAAACTATATTTCAGCATGAAATGGTCTCTGATGGAAACTGGTATAGTCTTCTCTTGACCAGGCAAAATTATTGTAAGAACACAACCTGTTAAAACTAGGCCTGAGATAAAATCTCATAATTTTAGGGACACTTTTGTGTTCAGCAAGCCACTATTGTTTTTGAAGAATATTTTGCGTATTATTTTCCTACCCACTTAAACTTCTGTTAATTCTCATCAGAGACCATGCACTTCTCAAATATGCTCAAAAAGGCTTGGCTGGGCTGCAGAAAATAGCTTCAAAATCTTCTATTGCTTACTTTATCAATGTAAGATTCTACCTTACCAGAAAGGCAATTTTCGGAGCAAAAACGTAAAGATTTTATGTTGGCAAACCTGTGACCTAATGTAGATTTAATTGTATGCCAGAAAACCTGTACAGTGTCATTTGGGAGCGTTCATATAACTTTTCTAGTTCTAGTTCTATTTTCCCTGCTAGTTAGCAAATAAGGGAGGCAAAGGAGAGCACCGCCATGGATGAGAAGAGAAGTGGTAAAAGGCATTAGGCGTAAAAGGAACCTCCATAGGAAATGGGCACTAGGGAAAGTAGACAAAAGCATATACTGGGAGGAGGAGGCTCTTTGCAGAAGGATTCTTCACAAGGCTAAGGCTGATTATGAGCTGAGACTTGCAAAGAATATCAGGAGCAACAAAAAGGGCTGCTATCAACATGGAAATAGCAAGAGGAAGGGGAGACAGGTGGTGGGACCACTTTCTAAGGAGGAAGGGGATTCGGTGACTGGTGTGAGGGAACAGGCACAGATGCTAAATGACTATTTTGCTTCTGTGTTCTCTCCAAAGCAGGATGGGGAAGATCCACATGGGGGATCGGATGAGGCTGGGGATTTAGCAGCGCAGATTAGAGTCACCCCCACTAGAAGTCTTGGCAGTTAGGACCCTAGGGTATGGAATGGATTTCCGCGGGAGCTGGTTGAAGTCCCATTGGTGTGGATCTTTAAGGATAGTCCGGACATGCATGTGGTAGGCATGTCATGAGTGGAGCCAGCTACAGCTGGGGGTCACACTAGATGGCCTGGGAGGCCCCTTCTGACTTGCTCTGTTTCTATGTTTCTTTGTGTCCTCAAAATGGTTTTGCTGAAATCACAGGCTTTGTAAAACACACACACACGCAAGTGATTGGTGAATGCAGGTCAAACTATTGTAGAGCTCAAGAGACAAATGGGTGGAGAAGCAGAGGCTCTGAGAAGAATTGGCCAGGTGATTAAAGAGAAAGGTATCTACACATGCTGATCTTAGATATTTCAAGGAAATGCCAGCAGCCAAATGTGCAGTTGCATGTTTTAATGATGACATAGATTTATTCAAAGAACTTGCATGGGAAACATTCACAGTCTGGTTTATGCTAATATGGCCTTCAATGCATTTCACTGTAAGAACTGAAGCGGCTTTGAGAAGCAGGGTGTTGAGGAAAGAAGGGAGCTAACAAGGTAGAGAACAACCTCTAGAAAATCGTGTGCCTCATCTGGAATTGTGTAGGAGGTGGATTGGAAAGGATGGAAGCAGAAAGAACAGGATGGTCAACAAAGTGGAGAACAGTAAATGCCATATATATTCATCTAAAGCAGCTAGCAAAATATTTACTTTGGCTTCTCAGTAGAATAGAAAAGAGAACCACTTCTTCTCTGTTGCTCTATATTCCCCTGAATGATGATTATTGCCATAGTGCTACCTCTGAGTAGGTTATGACCTTTTCTGCATTGAAGAAACTGCATGAGAGGAGCTTTCAGTACTGCAGCCTATATTATACTTTTTCTAGTAAATTAGGAATTCCATTACCTACTATAATATGCCTAACAGCCTTTGCTCACTGTTTAAACATCAACTAAGACATAATTATTAATTATATTTTAATTGAGGCTATTTTTTTCTCCAGTGGTATAAGCCTAGAGCCTTCTGCTAGGAAAAACAGCTTTCTACATATGACAAACATGAAGTTGTATAATATCTATAATATCAGGAATTCCTAACCCTGCTCCAAATAAGGCTACTGACTGTTCTCTCATGTGAGTCAATAACCTGGGGCATTATTCTTCACTGGGGAGAAACTGCTGTAGTTACATCACAGCTGCTGACAGATTTAAAGTCCCAGTGAAACTGCAGAAATCTTTGCTGGGGTTCTGATGTCTTTCTGGTTTGTGTATATGATGTTTCTCTTATTGAATGACCTTCTCAAATGATTTATTTGCTTGGCATCTAATCATAATTCAAAGCATGAACCAGTGTGTGTGTGTGTGTGTGTGTGTGTGTGTGTGTGTTTATTTTGAAGAGTTGTCTTTGGTAATGTATATAGGACAAAGATTTGCATTTAATGACTTCATAGTTCAGAGTAATTCACAGGTAACCTTTCCTCAATACAAGTTATTTCTTGAGATCAGAATATTGTGTTTTGCTATTACCAAAACCCCTTTTTGTTTGCACCAAAGGGTTTTGATTTCCATTAACTGAACAATAAAAACAACAACTAGTGAGAGAATCTTCTGAGGTTTGCTTGTTTCCAATCAGCAACCTCACATAACAGTTGACTTTTGAGCTCAAATGAGTTTTAAAAATAGTTCATGACAAAGCACAAGGAGGTGCTGTAAGGAAGAAAACTCAAAGATCCCCTTTTGTATGCGCAAACCATTGCACCTGTGTTGTGTGTATTCCACAGAATGTCACAAGTACAGAATTTTCACTGTTCCTGATTCAAAGGGCTTGTTACTACCTTTCCTCCTCCTGCCTTCTGCGCTGGACCATTGGGAGCCGTTAGCACAGACACATTCTGTGTGGGGTAGCACTGTTAACTGAGTGTAGCTGCATGGTAATACAGCTGAATTCCAGCAGAGGCCAGTTGTCAAGTAACCCTTTGGCTTGTACTTTTCTTGTGTGGTTGAGAAGTGGATGCATAAGATCATTGTTAACTGTTGGTAAGTTGAGGGTGGAGATATTGTAGGTTGCTCTGGTTTTTGCAGAGGAATTTATGCCAAACAACACAAAACCCTGTGCTAGAGTTCTTTGTCATTCCTCCTGAAATTTTTGTTTTGTTGTTAATTATATTACTTATATCCCGCCTTTTGGGGCAAAGCCCAAATTAGAATGCTGTGTTTCATGCAGAGCAGCAAAAGTCTATTTTACTTTTAATTGCTTTATCTTATTCCTGTGCTCCCCTCAGTGGAGACTATTCCATAGCTTTACTGGAAAGGAGTTCTGGGATTTGCTTGATCCTTTTGGGAAATGTCTGGGAAATCCACATCTCCAATTCAGTGATGTAAAGCCCATTTCAGATTTGGGACACCAACCAAGAGCAGGTTTAATCTCCAATGTAGCACACATTGTCTAGGTTAGGGTGGTCTCTTCATTGCAGTCCTTGCAGGTTTGCCTTCTTTTTCTTTCTGTTGTTGTGCTTGAGGACAGAGGAGAGCCCTGGACTGTGACTCAGGGAGGAGGAAGAGGCTTATATCTTGTAGGACATTTTGAGATGGGCACCCATAGACTTTGCCACATTCCATTTGCTCCTAAATTATTTGATATCGTTTTAATTCTAAGTGGAATTAGAGCAGTGAGGATGGTTGCTATAGCAACTGTTTCCTTGTGCCTTTGGTCTGACTCATTTCAGACAATTACACTCACGCTCCAGGATTCACAGATGTGATAGAGGAAGAGTCATGTGCTGGGCTTTCAACTTTTCACTTTTAATTTCCTTTCCTTCCTTTCTCTGGTATTAACTCCTCTGTAGTACCGGTCCTATTGAAATGTGTATATAAAGTACGTTTCCTTTCTGAAGAGAGCTGCATCAATAACATAAGTAGACACCATAACAACAGAGCTTTACTTTCATAGGATTGTCAGTATGATGAGCCCTGGTGCATTTGAAGGCGTGGATCTGAGTATGAGTGCCAGTCATGTGAAGCTATGTACTCTGTTCTATCTCTGTAGATAGTGCATTTTCTCTATGTGCATAATATTTAAGCACAAATTTGGAAAAGTCCACGCTGTTCTCCATAGCAAAATCAGGCCTAATGCAATAATTGTCTTTTGTGTTTTCTGTTATATGTCACTAGAGAGACCATTTGCTTATGGAGAAAATTCTGTGGAGAGACAGAGGTTCAAATGCTGAGTCGGAGAGCACAGACTGTTCTGAGAGGGCTAAACTCTGTTTATTTTTGCACATGCATTTAGAGGAAAGAAATGTATGGGGGATACATTCATTTTAAAATGTGAAAAAGTTCACATTTCAGTTAGCTTTCACATTTCTACTAGTAGAAGAGCACAGAAGCCATTTTGCAGAAGTTAGGTAGCAGGCTCTGTTGAAGCAGTACATATTTTTTTTGTTTGCACAAAGAATGTGATACGTCTATGTTGCCTATATTTGACTTGGCTGTCAAAAAGGGTCACATAGGCCTGCATGCTAGCATAATATTCAGAATCTCAACCTGATCCATGCATTGTGGCCTGCCATGGGTTTAAACCCAACTCTATTTTTTGCAGTCCCAGGTGGACAGCAAAAATGGTTCATCAAGCAAGCCCCTACTGGGCTATCTCCCATGGACACTGGCTGCCTATGGTTTCATTGAGTGCATGCTGTATAGACTTAAACTGGAACTCCTGATACTACTTTCCTGGCAGTTTCTGCCATCTTCACTATTCTCTAGAGGTCCGCTTCTGAGCTACTTTTGCAAATTTCAAGTGTTCATGGAAGTACTTTAAGATGCATGGAAATATAAGACTGAAAAGATAGCATACATGGCTATTTCTAGAAGATTTGTGATCCCTCTATGCCAGCTTTACTTCTTTCCAGTTTTTTCTGAGGTCTGCCCATGTTGAATAAAGCCCAGAGGTCATATGCTTGTTATTTCCAGGGGCAGTGCCCATTGTCTTGGAAATGTTAAGGGCCTCTGGATCTAATTT